AGGTGGCCAATTTACTGAAACAACAACTCGGAGATGGAGAGGCCAAAAACATATTAGCCAATGCAATCTATTTGTCTAGCTTTGGAGGCGCTGACTACTTGTCTTTCATCAACAGTACTCCTAATCCTACCGAATTACAGCAACGGGAATATGTAAACATGGTGATTGGCAATTTTACAGATGCGATTAAGGTAAAATTCAGCTCAATGAACTTCTATTATTGAGGTTTTCCCATGTTATTCTTCTTTAGATTTTTTTTTTTTTTTTTTTTTTTTTTTTTTTTTTTTTTTTTTACTATTTTTTATGAAGGAAATATATGAAATGGGAGGGAGGAAATTTGAGACCTTTGGGTTGCCTACCATAGTTGAAACAAGAGTAGAATCTTAGTGGTGGTGCTTGTGTACAAGTTCTCCAAGAATCCGCTAGTGTTCACAATAGTCTTATGTCTAATATCACTATGGAGTTACAAAACCAATTATCAAGATTCGAATATTTAATTTTTGCTTACTTCAATTCTCTTAATGATATGATAAATTATCCTACAAAATATGGTACGTTATATATAGGTCATAATTTTTTTTTCCTTTTAAATGCTCATATGTAATCTAACTCTTACTTTTAACTTTTGTTATAAATCATGTTTATTGTAGGGTTCAACGTGTTAGAAATTGTATGTTTCGGCATCGGTTAACATCATGGTTCTGAATGTGGAAGAGTAAAAGAATATAAACTATATAGTGATCCTAATGAGTATGTATTTTTCGATGGCAGCTATCAATCTGAACATGCTAATTCTATATTACCAACTTCTTGTGGAATGGAAGATCAAATTTTACATGACCTATTAGCATGAGGCAACTTTATGAACTCAATTCAACTATTTCCATTGGGATTTTATCAGAAGATAAACTTTTGTTTTCCATGTAACCCATCAAGTTAAATTGGGCAAACTACAGCCACATATCTTATGCTTAATCAATAATTTACTGTAATTTATGTCGAGGGATATTTTTTAGAGAGACAAGAAATTACACATTCAATTTATGGTCTGTAAGTGTATAGTGCTCTCTCCATTACTACGTGGGATTATTAGCTGGCAACTTGTGGGCATAAATACGGATATATGTATTGTCACTTCCAAGTAGATATTGAATTGAAGGTCAAACCTACTATCTAATCATAGACTAACTTTTTATATAGTATCTAATGAGTATCTACTTTTGATGAAGATTAATTAGGAATGTTGATATTCATTTTGAATATCAAATATTCCGTTTCCTGATTATTTCTTGATTTCATGTGATTATGGGTTTATGGCACTGATTGTATTTCCTTTATTGATTTTTACATTTTTTGTATAAATTGAGACATTGTATAGACACAAATACATAATACAAAATATAGAGAAACACGCTGTTCTTCACTTCTTCTTGGCATACTCAGGGAGCATTTGGTATCAGAGCCCTTTAAACAGCTTCCGCTAATTTTCCGTTTTCCTGCAAAAGCAAATCCAATTGTTAGGTGACATTTCCCAAACACCATTCCAAACATACTCCAAATGACAAACACTGCAGAACAAGAACAGGGCTTGCGCATTTCAGGCTTAGAGGCCCATAATGAGTCCACTGGAGATCCCAACCAACAAAGCCCAACCCCTCCACCCACAAATGGGTCCAACCAAAACCAACCCGATCCAAACCAACAAAGCACAAACCCTCCACCCACAAACGGGTCCAACCAAAACCAACCAAGCCCAACCCAATTCCCATTTGTCTTCCCGGGTTTCAGTCCAGGTCAAACAAACTAGAATCAACAAAACCCCTACCCGTTTACATTTCATTTTGCCCAGCAGCCACAAACCGACCAGAAGCCGGCGATGTCCTTTTTACGTCGGCATCCGATAGTCTAGAGCTCGTCGTCATCAAGCAATCGCCCACCGGCGCCGAGAATTATTCCAGTTGGGCCCGTTCCTCTACCGTCTGAGCAGCATCTTTTGTGACATTGGGTCGCTGCAATATGCTGGTCCGTTCATGGATCAGCAGTTGCATCACACCGGAAGTGGCCGCGGGAATCCCTCCAATCGAAAATGCCGCCGAGATGTGGTCCCACATAAAAGAAATGTATGGGAAGTTAGATTTGGCTAAAGTGTTCTCCCTCTGACTACAAATCGTCGAAATTAAACAAAATAATGCAACCGTGACTACGTACTTCAACTGGGTGTTGGCTGTGTGGACCAAACTGGACGCCACCGAGGAATCTCTTGAAGGGCCGCTGGAGACACTGCGCCAATACCACCAAATTCGCGATCGCGAATGCCTCACAGGTATTCTTCTCGGCTTGAACGATAGCTTCCTGTCGTTCAGGACTTAGATCTTCGCCATTGCTCCGCCGCCAACGTTGCACCACATCTTCCAGTTAGCCTTCCAGGAAAATTACATGCAATAGTTTTAAACAGTATATCAAACTCTGACAAAATTCAACAAGCCGTGGCCTCAATCCCACAACTACCTGAAAATCAAACTTTGTTTCTTACATTAACTTTCTCCACTCACAATTTCAAAGTAACTGCCATGTGATGACCACCACCGACGAATGGGTGATGGTTAATAAATTAAATTTAAGTGTAAATTTGAATTATTTTTCATGGGTATTTGGTGAACAAATGCGTGATCTAGAATTGTCTATTATTTGGCTCAACGGCTGATTTCTAATTGAGCTTCACGTGCCTACGTATACCTATTAACTCATCAGTATTCTGCTTCCAGCCATGATCCATGTTGAAACCAAAGCCAAATACACACAATAAAGTAAAACATAACAATAAAGAGAATAAACGATTTACCCTGGTTTATTTTAATTAATAAACTACATCCAGTATTCAAATAGATAATTTTTATTTCATATCACAAAGTTGCCGCAATTACAAAGAATAATGACAATATTTTACTCTCGTTCTATTTTTTTTCACTTTAGGTTTCTCTAAATGAGTCACCCGTAAATTAATAATCTGTCAAGATTAAGAGAAGTATATACTATATCCAACAATCCGGATCTCATCAAGCTTAGACTTACAATTAAGTGAAAGTAAGACCTTCAATAAAATAAACAATTTATCACATTGAACATAATTAGAATATATTAATTCATGGAGAATATAAAAGTTATTAGTTGTTGACAATTATTTTGTTAATAGACAAATTGGAGACATTCCACATTGTTGTGTGTGATTTTTCTGCTAAGCTCGGACTATTATGAAGATATAGTTCGACCCAAAACTAGCTCGGTAATTTTGATTGATCGAACCAAAACCAGCTCGGCAATGTTGACTGATCGACCCAACAGAAGCTCGTCGAGCCATAGCTCGACCCAGCATAAGGTAGTCATGAGCAATCCGAGCGATCATTCAATCAACCTCCGCATTATTTCAGATCCTAGATATTGTGGGAATGACCAGATCAACAACTATCACTACGTAATCACAACGTCCAATCACGAGAATATCATAATTGCGATTCAGATATATTGTAATCCCTTTATTTTCATTCTTTCCTTTGTATAAATCTTGTATATAAATCCCCAGTCAAATGGGGAGGATGGTGTGACGAATTCTTCATAATAATTACATTGTAAGCTCTCACAGCAAATACAAAATAGTGGACGTAGGCTTCAGAGTTAACCTCGCTGAACCACTTTAAAAACTCTAATTGCCTTTAATTTTATTGCATCTTTGTACATTCATCGCTGATTAACTCTAATCACGCACACATTAGTTCCGATCCCAACAAGGTCGATCGGATCTCGCTAATTGGTGTAGAATTTTGTATGAATATTTTGACACTAGAAGAAGGGCCTCCGCCAACGTCTCAAGTATTCCGACAAACATTCACAGCAACCTATCTATTCTAAGCCCAAAATGGTACACACCAGATCAAAAACCACCACCGGAAACCTCAAAGATGTGGCGTAATTTTAATTAATCCTTGACAGTCTTCAAACTGCCAAGAGTTTTTAACCAAAAAAAAAAAAATTATTTTGAATAATAATAATAATCAAATTTTATTAATAATAATTTTTCATCATTGATAGTCTTAAAACTGTCTTGCATTTTTTTGTAAATATTTTTATTTTGTAATTAGTTTATTTTCCTGATTATTTTCAATTAAATAATGGAATAGTGCAATGAAATTATTCATAATATTCTTCATTCAACAATAAATTTAAATATTCAACAATCTTTCAATTAATTTAGAAAACGAAATTGAACAATAGTATGTTTGATACATATTTTTTCCTTGAAACATCAATAATTAAAAAAAGTTTGATACGTACATCGCCATTCTCCTTTAACTTCATCGACCTCTAAATCTGTGTATATTTCTTTCCCCATGAACTATAAAAGATTAAAAATAGATAAATTAAGTATATATACATAAGCTACTGAAAATGCATGCAAATAAAAACATATAGAATGATACCTACAAGGGGGGCTAATATGGTGCGATTCCAGCCAACTTTTTTTTAAAATTTTATTTCAAATTTTGGTAATTTTTATTTCGGATTTTTCTTACAATTTTTCAATTTTCTTTTTGGGACTTATATTTTAATATGATTTCATAAATTATATACAATTTTAATGAAATACTGTTTTGTAATTATCCAAATTGAAGATAGGGGTTTATATGGTTAATTTCCAAGTTAGTGAAGGTAACAAATTGTAACTAACAATTATGTGTTTGTAATTTAGGGGTGTAAGTAACACTAACCCTACAATATATATTTTACGAAATAACAAAAATCCCCTTTTGCTATTAAAATTAACGTTTGAATTTAACAATGGGTAGGTATGATCTGGTCTTCTTTTGATCTCTTATTGAGGTATACCTCTAATTTTATGTATAATTTCTCTTCTTTTATAAAATTTATATTTTCCAAAAAAAAAAAAAATAATAATAATAATAAAATAAAATAAAAAAATGTTAGTGTAACACTAACTTACAATATTTTGTAGTGTTATTTATTCTATCACCAAGAGTGTACTAGTATTTCATGATGGAGTATTTAAATCTTGGGTGTGTTAAAAAATTTTCAACACAAGTACCATTCAATTCAGGGTGATTTGCTTTTGTGGATGGCAAGCAACCTAATGGTCCAACATTCTGGATCGCAAATTTCCTTCCTCCCGGTGCATATATTTCCTTGAACCCATTTGTTAAGTTGGCTACCACCGTCTGCATGAATGCCACTCTTTCAGATTTAGAGGAATTGGAGTACTGCATGTTATACCTAAAGTAATCGTTGCCTCCCATGCTGAATAAGTACACAGAGCTCGTTAAAATGTTCTTGGCTTCTTGCTCACCTTTCTTTTCTACTAATAAAGTTACCACCTTCTTGAAATTCTCCAACTGTGTGTTCAGATTCATCTGAAAAGTAGAGACCACATTTTAGATGTATTACAAAAACATAATATAGTTTAGTTAATATATATATTGACTCGATATTACATAAATTGACAACCCCTACATTAAGGGAATTTAATTCAAGTTGACATCATATTGATGATGTTACATCTCTTTAATTTCTGACCATATATAAATAATGGAAAAGTCATACCACTCCATTACTTTCTCCTAGTACAACAGATCCAGCAGAAGCAAAGTTAGCCCCATTAGTTAAATCAGCTCCTGGTTGCATGTATGGTGGATCCACTGAAAGGTTTCTAAATAGGGCTGCAAAAGAAGTAAACTACGTTGATCAACGTCTGAATTTTTGACCCAGAGAAATGACAATGCAAGAGTTTCTTAAATCTTACCAATAAAATCAGGAACCAGAAGGCCATCCGATATTCTGCCTGTGGATTTGTTGTTCATAGTCATACCATAAGGAAAATACGTTCCTGTGCTTTCCATTGAACTATTGAGGGACTGATTGTTGCCAGGATCAAAGAGTGAGTCTCCAAACACAAACAATAGTTTCTTGGATGACTGCGCAGCTGCATAACACCCAATGAAATTGAGAGCGGTTGCATACAAGATTATCAAACAAACAAGGTTGCTTGACTTCGCCATGGAATTAGAACTTGAATAATATCTCTATATTATACAAGCTAGCTTCACCTTGAATGTTGTTGCTTATTGGTTTGGTCTCTCACTGGCTATTTATAATCGAATATGTTGTGAGAATTTTCTTTTAGTGGCGGAAATTTTTAACCAATAATATCTGCAGGTTGTTCATTACACATGGAATTTTCCCAAGATTATTGGCCCCACACGCATGTTGTAAAGACGCTCCTTCTCTTTAATTTCCACACGGGGTTTTCGTCTAAATTTTGACTAAAATTTCCAAAACAACTGGGACAGGGCTTATGTTTAAGAAGCTTTTGCTCTTAAACCATGAAACAAATTAAATAAGATTGCCCCACGATAACCTTTGTCACATGATCTAAATTAAGCAGAAATTAGATAGGATTACCCATCCATGGGTAGCCTAGTGATAAGAGTGAACCAAGGGATTGTGCATGGCTTCAATCCAGAGATAACTCCTTAGGAATAGTTAAGGTGTGAGTAAACTAGCCTGAACATCTCACTTAAAAAAAAAATTAAAAAAAATAAAAATCTAGATAGGATTTTGATTCTCCAAAATTAATGAATTTTATTAATTTGCACAAGTTGGGGCGGCTGTGAGATAACTTCTCCTTAGAAATAGTCAAGGTGTGAATAAGTTGACCCGGACATCTCACTTAAGAAGAAAACATGAAAAATCTTGATAGGATTTTGGTTCTCCAAAATTAATGAATTTTATTAATTTGCACTAGCTAACAAATAGAATTGCGTATTAGCTGGTTTGTAGAAATTAAACTCTTTTAGCTCTCCTTATCCTTACAAATATTTATGAAATTGAGATTTTAATTTCTTGAAACTGTTTGACTTATTTATCCAACAATCAGAAGATATCGTAGTGTGTGAGAACGAATCATCTCATCAATAGTGGCTAATATGGGAACAACGGTGCTGTATCAAAAGACACAGCCGTAGTTGAAACACAAGTGAGCGATGGAAGACAAGACAAGATACGATGGATCGACATGGAACCAAAAATTCTCCGAGGAAAGAAAACAAATGCAGACAGAGTTGATGTGGGGTACCATAGAAAATGCTTGGAAGCAACAGGTATACTATGGTTTTCATCGATGGATTCCACTGCTTTCAAATCATGGGTCCACTGCCTTCATCATGCATGATGTAGAACTTTCTCAATTTCTAGCATCTATTTCTCACAAGAAGAATTTCGTTGATGTTGATATTTAATTAAAGTTCAAACCTACTAAACAACATTGACTAAAGGTTTTATATAGTATCTAATGAGTGTGTTTAAGATTCTAAGATATGTTTCAAGTTATAATTGTGAGAACTATATGAACAACAGTAGAGAGTAGAAGAAAAACAAAGGAGAAAGAACGAAGAAAGTTTGTATCTGATTTTCAATTAGTAAAGTTTTCTAATACTGTACACTTTATACCCATATTTCTTATAAAGAAGAAAGACACGATAAGTGTCTTAGCTGAGCTGCCTAAAGCAACACTCTAACATACAGAAAACGCTACCGTATCACTTATTCTTAAACGGTGCAGTTTTGTTCTTTAGTCCAATAGCCTCCCTCAAGCTGAACTGCTCTGCAGTTTAAGCTTGTGCAAAACAACAATAACAACAAAAAAAAATAAAAAATCAAACAAAGACACACTGCTCCAGCTTTCTGCTTTTAATTCTATCAACAGCTTTGCGACACTTCAATTTACTTTCAAGCTTCTGCAAATTAATTCTATCAACAAAACCTTTACTCAATTTTATCAACAGCTTTGCAATACTTCAATATGCTTCCTCAAGCTACTGTAAACAAAGATAGCAACAAAACCTTTACTTCATTCAATCAACTGCTCTGCAATACTTCAATATGTTTTCCAAGCTACTGCAGTTTAACTGACCCCAAGCTACTGCAGTTTAACTTCCTCAATACTACTGCTGAATTTTCTCCTCTGCAACACTGCAGTTTACTCCCTCAATTTTCTGCAATTGAATATCCTCAAAAAAAAACTGCTCTGCAATACTTCAATATGCTTTCCAAGCTACTGCAGTTTTAACTGACCCCAAGCTACTGCAGTTTAACTTCCTCAATACTACTGCTGAATTTTCTCCTCTGCAACACTGCAGTTAACTCCCTCGATTTTCTGCAATTGGATATCCTCAAAATAACTGCAAGTTATTGGCTACAATAATAAGAAACAACATTTAGTTTTGCTCTCAATTCTCCAAATTGAGCAGCCGGAAGAGCCTTCGTTAAAATGTCAGCAATCTGTAGCTTTGAGGGAACATATTGCACAATAATTTTGTTGGCTAAAACCTGTTCTCTGATGTAGTGTGTGTCAATTTCTATGTGCTTGGTTCTAGCATGAAATACGGGATTAGAAGCCAATGCTCCAGCACTTACATTGTCACACCATATTACAGGAATTTTAGTAATTGATAGACCCAATTCATTGAACACACTGTTTAACCAGGCTATTTCAGTGGCTGTATGTGCCAAAGCTCTGTACTCAGCTTCCGTAGAGGATAGAGCTACTACCTTCTGTTTTCTAGAGCTCCATTGGATTAGATTGGGTCCTAAGTAGACATAATACCCACTTGTGGACCTTCTGTCTTCTATGTTACTGCCCCAATCTGCATCAGCATAACACTCAATCTCCAAAGTGGCAGCTGGTGTGAACTTAAGGCCATAATCTTTTGTGCCTTGAATGTACCGTAAGACCCTTTTACAAGCCTGCCAATGTAGATTAGTAGGAGACTGCAGAAACTGACTTAACTTGTTCACTGTGAAGCTGAGATCAGGTCTTGTTAAAGTGAGATATTGAAGAGCACCCACGGTACTCCTATACAAACTGGGATCCAAAAACAGTTCACTATCCTTTGGAAACAACTTTGATCCTGTGGTCATAGGAGTGACACATGAATTTGCTTCCATCATCTTTGTTTTTTGTAGCAAATCATTGGCATACTTGGTCTGTCTTAGATGAATTTCAGTGGCTGTCCTGGTAACTTCAAGACCTAAAAAATACTTTAAAGACCCAAGTGTTTTCAATGAAAACTGATCATTAAGTTCCTGCACAAGAGTACTCATATATGTCATATTAGACCTGGTTAGTAAGATATCATCAACATAAACCAAAACATAAGTGATGTGTGCATCTTGGTTGAGAATGAATAGACTTGAATCTGATACAGAATTTTTGAATCCCTTGTTCTGAAGTGCTTGTTTCAGTCTATCAAACCAGGCTCTAGGGGCCTGTTTGAGCCCATATAAAGCTTTGTTTAATTGACACACATGCTGTGGTTTCATAATATCTTCAAAACCAGGAGGTTGCACCATGTAAACAACTTCATTTAGAGTTCCATTGAGAAAAGCATTGTTCACATCAATTTGTTGAACATCCCAATTGTAGGTGACAGCCAAGGTGAGGATAATTCGAATTGTTGAAGGTTTAATAACTGGACTAAAAGTATCAAAGTAGTCCAATCCTGGGGTTTGTTGAAACCCCTTGGCAACCAACCGAGCTTTATACTTTTGAAGAGAGCCATCAGCATTATACTTTACTCTAAAAACCCACTTGTTTCCAACAACATTCATTTCTGATGAAAAAGGTACAAGTGTCCATNGGTCTTGTTAAAGTGAGATATTGAAGAGCACCCACGGTACTCCTATACAAACTGGGATCCAAAAATAGTTCACTATCCATTGGAAACAACTTTGATCCTGTGATCATAGGAGTGACACATGAATTTGCTTCCATCATCTATGTTTTTTGTAGCAAATCATTGGCATACTTGGTCTGTCTTAGATGAATTTCAGTGGCTGTCCTGGTAACTTCAAGACCTAAAAAATACTTTAAAGACCCAAGTGTTTTCAATGAAAACTGATCATTAAGTTCCTGCACAAGAGTACTCACATATGTCATATTAGATCCAGTTAGTAAGATATCATCGACATAAACCAAAACATAAGTGATGTGTGCATCTTGGTTGAGAATGAATAAACTTGAATCTGATACAGAATTTCTGAATCCCTTGTTCTGGAGTGCTTGTTTCAGTCTATCAAACCAGGCTCTAGGGGCCTGTTTGAGCCCATATAAAGCTTTGTTCAATTGGCACACATGCTGTGGTTTCATAGTATCTTCAAAACCAGGAGGTTGCACCATGTAAACAACTTCATTTAAAGTTCCATTGAGAAAAACATTATTCACGTCAATTTGTTGAACATCCCAATTGTAGGTGACAGCCAAGGTGAGGATAATTATAATTGTTGAAGGTTTAATAACTGGACTAAAAGTATCGAAGTAGTCCAATCCCGGGGTTTGTTGAAACCCCTTGGCGACCAACCGAGCTTTATACTTTTGAAGAGAACCATCAACATTATACTTTACTTTAAAAACCCACTTGTTTCCAACAACATTCATTTCTGATGAAAAAGGTACAAGTGTCCATGTGTTATTTGAAATTAGAGCCTCATATTCACACTGCATTGCAGTTTTCCATTCAGTATTCTTCAAGGCTTCTTGAACTGAATTTGGTTCTAGCATGACTGATCCAGTAAGTATAAGAGTTGTATGGTGATTTTTAGGTGGAGTTGAACCTGAAATTTGATGTGTAGGCTGAATTGATGATTTTTCAGGGAAAGAGTGTATCTCAGCCAGTTTAGACCTTGTAAGCATTGGATGAACATTGGTGGAAGTATTTAAGACAGATGGAATGCTAACAAACCGTGAAGGAGTCAGATCAACTTCAAGAGAGCATGATGGTGCAGTTGTTGCAGTTGGTATAGGTCTTATTGTTGGCAATTGTGGTATTGATTGTAAAGAGGATGTAATCATGGTAGTTGATGCAGGTAAGGGTGCTGTTCTGGTTACAGAATCTGGTGCTGAATTTTTTGAAATGATTGTGGTGGTCTGTGTAGGTAACTGGCTGGATTTGATTGTAGGATATGGTGATGGATTGGGAGAGATTGTTGTGCTGGTTTGTGTAGGTAATTGATTGAATTTGGTTGTGAAAGGAGCTGATGTAGAGG